ATACTTTGGCAAACCAGTAGAGATACAGATACGGGATCTCAGATTTCCTATTACAATTTCGTTCAAGAAACCTGTCATTTTCTGTCGATTTTATCTCTTGTTTGTCACATACAGTGTAAGACGAGCAGTTGTAACATGTACGTACCGCTCATATATCTATTTTACCTGAGACTGATTAATCATTTGTTTTTTTATCAACGTAAATTAAATTACTGGTCTACTTATTTTAAACCAGGTGAGTTAGGTCAGTGTACCTGCGGCGGGAAAGGAGAGCCGCATTTTATCACATGCGATGGAAGGAAGTTCCCCTATCCTGCCCCTACAGGTAGAATTGGAAATTTGGCGTCCGGCAAGAATAATTGGTGGTACGTGTGGACCAAGCATGCACTTTACGAGGGTGGACCACGTACATACATTAGTGCAGTTAGGTTTCGGTGCGGCGCCAATAAAGTAGACTTTAACTTTAACCCCCCTGGAAACTCAGACGCTCCTGAAACGAAGGTAAGTCGACATTGGTATAATCACTAAGGACCGCCGGATTCTTTTAATGTATGATTAGTTAAAAAAATAAATTGACTGAAATTTATCTTTTTTAATTTTTTTATTTGTAACCAAATGTCTTTTAGTCTATATTCTTCTGCCATAACCGAATCGCTTACTTTTCCTCTTTCTCAACACTTTGAGGGTCTTAAGAATGATAAACCAATCTGCAAAATCAACATCATTTATCAAATTACACCATTTGTTATCAGAAGATTATGAGAAGGAGGGCAAAATATCCTCAAATTCTGGATCCTCCAGTGGCTTAATTAATGCAGTTCATGGAAGAAGTGAGGAGAAACTTTTGTGTTAAAAAGCAAACCCACTACCGGTACTAGGGCCCGATTAATGTATAAGAGCGCATTCAGAACAGATGATCCGCGTGCTTTCTGATCCGCCGACTAAACATGGCCGACCCCACTTAAAAGCAATCCGCCTAAATCCCCTGATGGTCTCATCGCCTAATCACGCGCCATGAAACGGACCAAATTGCTAGGCCCCTGCAGTGAAGACGCGTGTGGATGCAGGGAGAGCATCATTGGATTAGCGGCATCACTTTTAAGTGGGTCAACCATATTTAGTCCAAGGATGCTCAGTGACTAAATTAATTATCATTTAAACATATGTTATCTGACGGGTGACATCATAATCTCGATTTTGGGGTAAAAACTGAAAAATCGGTGTCATAAATTTTTCTTTTACATGAGCACCCACAATCACCGTTTCAACGCCGATTTAATGGCACTATTTAGTACTCCATTTTTATTCTTTAAAATCAGCACAAAGATAGATGCATTATTGAATAAATTTAATTATTTAAAAATGCAGGAAAAAACTCATTTTTGGGTATCTGGATGATAATAAATGGTTACATTGTCCTTAAATAGATGGCTAATCTTTTTAGGCCTACTGTGAGCAAAAAAAGTCCACAAGACTATAACTGCGGCCATGGAAGAGAGTTCGTTTACAACAGCATTTTTATTTAATTTTTTCTGAAGGAAGTGTTGTTTGCCACAAAAAAGATCTGTTAACTGGTCAGGTATGGAGTGACCATGGTGCCAGGAGTGGTTAGAACACCAAAAGAACCAAATTTGTCCTGCCCCTGCTCTCCCAACATCTCATCCAACGATGACACCATCCATAAAACATGCACTTCTTTAATATCTTTATACTGCCATTGCAAATCAAGTCCATTCCTAAAACATGCACTTCTCTAATATTTTTATACCTCCATTGCAGATCGATGGCGATCCTGTAATGTACCCTCCTACGTGGAACAATAAACTGCCTCCTGGTGCAACCGGGGCAATTTCTGCAGGAAGCCCTCAAGTAGAGGTGGTCCAGAAAATCTTCCCCAGCATTCCCGGTGGCGACAAACCGAGGACTTATGTGGCCGCTCACTGCACTATTGCTGCGGGTATCAAGGTCTCCGTGTTTGTTCGCCTTCGCACCGTGGTTGTCCAGATACATCAGAATTATTGCAAGAACATGAATGGAATATGCGGTGATTATAACGGAAAAGCTAATAACGATGTAACCGACCTCACAAATGTGCCTCCATGGGCTCCTCTGCTCATGCCCTAGAACCAGAGCCAGCCGGTGAAGGGATAGAGGTATTGGTCTTCGGATAATTGTTACTTTCACTTTTTAATGCATGTTTGTTTATATGCAATTACAATAATATATTGATTTTCATTGTTTTTTTTTAATTTTGACATTTACCTAGACACTTATGTTGATAGGTCTGATTTTTCGTTATACTGTACCAATATTTCTCTTGCATGTTTATGCAAATACTTAATCTTTGGTAAATTAGTAATAACGCATAAAGTGCGAACAAAAAAATGTTTAACATAATCTTATATAGAACCCCAAATATTTCAGAATTGGAGACGACGGATCATACAATTACGGATGAAAAAAACACGTGGGGCTTTACTGCAGCATCTTTGCGTTATCACTGGAATTTTTCGTGCACAAGATTCAAAAACTTTTGATTGTTTGACACATTATTATCCAACCAGAAATGAAGGTTTAAATTGCTTTTAACTCTCGAAATAAGACATATACAGGGTATATTTTATCTATTTGGTATTATTTTTATTGTCGTTATTAAGGCGGTGTTATATAATATAATATGATAACCAGTGGGTTTGCAAACAAAGTGACACGTTACTGTGGAGAAGCACCCGGCGACACGATTCATTTAACTCCACTTGCATACAGACACAATCAAAGCTATCTTACAAACACAAACATACGACAACAGGAAAATGCTCGACTATCGCATTTCTTTGCTTTGTTTCAATCTGTTAAAATTATGAATAAATGCTGCGAAATTTGATTTGTTGTTGTTGTTGTACTGTCTTAAGAAATTGTTACTCGTAAAAGGTGAATTTCCCCCTCTCTCCTCTCGCTCTTTCTCTCAATTTAGTAATATCGCACAAATTAAAACACTAGTACACAATTTAAAAGGTCGTGTTATGTGCTTTTTCATTACATCATACGATCAAATAGCTGGCAAAAATATACTTAAATAATATGTATAAAAGAAATTATTGTTAAACTGTCTTGAGAAACGAATACCCGCAAAAGATGAAATACCTCTTTCTCTCTCTCGCTCTCTCTGGAAACTAATATGCCCCAAATTAAAACACCAGTATGTTATAACAGAGGTCGTTCTTTGTGTTTTTATATTCACCAAACGAACAAGTGATAAGCGGGCAATACATAATTTAATAATCTTACAGAAGAGAAATTGCTGAATGTTCGGGGTCACATTTGTATTAAAGTGAAACGTATCTCCTCTTCTACTCTCTAATAGAGACTGTCTCTCTGGTGATGAAGTACAAATCAGAGGCGGATTTAGAGCGGAGGGGGGGTGGGGGTGTCAGGAACCATTTAACTGCATTTTCTGCTTTGACCCGCTCGTATAACAAAATAATAGTTGATATAAATATCCAATGAATGCATCTCTCAAGCATTCAGACAGTTTTAATTATAGTAATGCTGAGAAAAATCTACATTTGTAGTTTCATAATTTCGCTATATCAGGTAAATCCATAAATAGAATCACAAAATTGCCACATCTTACATTTTTCTCAATATTATATGAAATCACTGCATTCTTAGGTAAAATTCATATTACATTATAATACATCGACCAACTTCAGACTACGGTTGGACCTGGGGCACTTGCCTTGGGCTTTCAGTGTCATTTCAGATTTATGGTCTCCATAATATTATTCAGTAAGTACAAGAACGCATAAAATTGTTATGTATGCCGAAGGATATTCTTTGTTGATGTTGCAACATTGTTCACGTCCCTTCAGGCAAGATTCAGAATGGTGAATCAAAATAACATTTACAAAAAAAAAAGAAGTGAACCTAATGTTTTTTTATGGAATTTTATTTTCACCGCCACATGTAGCACGTACCATACATATCCTTTGCTTGACAATATTTAATTATTTACATTGCTGCTACTGTCAACTACTGTAATATTTCTCTACACTCACATCTGCAGCATATGTACACGTTACCCACTAACATCTGCACTGTATTGCACTTGACACAATAGGGAACATTTCACAGTCTAACAACGAAATGCACACGTTTATTATTTTAATATTAAAATTAAATAAGCTTTACGGGTGCTTTGTCGGGAACCTGAATCGATATTCACAGACAATATCACAGGGCAGGTAATTTTTCTAACTGATGCCATTCTGCATGAAGTTATTCCCAACCCAAACCAGGTTAGAAGATGAAGGTGTAATGAACAGTACAAATCAGTAGTTGATTTGTAAATAGCAGCAAAAGCTTCCATCAAGAAAAATGTAACATCACCTCTTAAAAGGGTACAAAAGTAAGCATGGTGAACCAAAAGCCTCTTCGTGTTCTCAAAAAGATTTCAGCTGGAATTATTAGACACTGTGCATTTCCAAAAAGTCCCATGAAATTCTGAGCATTTACACACATAACTAGACCTTAATAAGGTCTTCAACAATTCTTGAAATGAAATAGAGAAATATTAATTACTGGAATGGTCTTTTGAAAGACAAAATATTTACTTGCATGGGAAAATTGGTGGTCCATAAAAAACGACTTTTACTTTCCATCTAAATTGAAAATAGGTCATTGTTCATGGACCACCCTGTAGTTTCAATTCACACATTTACACCTGTACATTCAATTGAATTCACATTATCAAGTTATACAGAGCACTAAGTAAAGTGCAGTATGCACAGCTAATCTAGATTGTTTGAAAATGACATGTTGACTCTCTACACTGTGCATCGTCTATCAGACCTACTAAACTGTACCATCAGACGAAGAAATAGATAATAATTTACAGTCTTCTAGTATTTCTATACATCAACAACCTTGTTTCTGTCCTTACTGGACAACACATTCCCTTTTGAATAATTTACAGTTCTACATAAACCAACTGTTCTCTCAGGTAAACTAACAAAACATACAAGAGCTATCAGCAATATCTGACTACTCTGAAACATTCACAGTGATTCCTTTTCCCTTGGGGTCATCGAACCTGTCCATGGTCTTAATGTTCACCATCATGCTGATCCCCCAGGTGAGAATGAGTAGAAGGATCAGAGTGACCATGAGTCCAGATAAAGTTCCTATGGTGAAGAAGCCGACACAGTCGCTGGCATCTAAAAACTTATCGCTGGACCCAAATGGTTGGATCTAAAAAGAAAACCATTCAACGTGTTTTACCCTCCTTAATGAAAGCTTATTATAATTATCATTATTATTATTATTAATATTAAGTAATTAAGATAAAAGAAACAGGGAAAAACAGGACCCTATGGTGTAATCTAGCTCCACCTTCATTAATTTTCATATGGCTAAATAGGATTCTGCCATGGTCATACTTATCCAACCCTTTCTTGCGGCATGATTTGTTTTCCTAGCTATTTTGACCAATTTAGTCCATTTTAACATATTGATCCACCTTAAGCCAAGTAGACCATTTTCTTCTTTTGTGCCAATATTCAAAATATGATTATTTCATTTTATATCTCCAACTTTCCTAATTCATTTCCAATTCAATTTAACATTTTCCACTCCACAATACTGAAGGAGCCTGCACCTGCTGAAATCACTTGACAGGCACTGCTGGTAGAGGTGATCTAAAAATCTACTGAAACTTACCTGTAAGTTATCAAAGCGAACATCAAGGGCAAGCTCAAAAATGTTTCCTTTGTACTCAGTCAGATTGGCCTGGGTGTAGTTAGTGGAGTACTTTGAACTGCAGGAATAAGAATATCTGGTGTCCTGTAGATTACTTGGCACGGACAAAACCGTCGGGTCATCCTCCGTTATGTTCATGCTGAGGGTGCCATTTTTGATCTTGTAGGTCAGCTGTAGAGCACTTATGTTCCACACATTTCTTGCTGTATTGGCAAAAAATTTGAACCTACAAAACAAGATCAAACATATGGTCTCATCTCAACCTATGGTGAATGTTCCATGGCATCGGCCTCAAATTTTTAACCACTGCGCAAATGACTGACAAGTCTAGATTGTCCAGCAAATTCCTATCAGAATCTAGCTTTGTGCTGGGACCTTGCTGCAATGTTTAATATTTCTACAATTTAGTTTACAATACATCATCCTTTGAGCATAAAAACCCGCTCTCCGTAATAAACTTCATTTTGTTCATTTCACTTAGAGTATTCATATTTTGTAACTCATTAAATCATTCTTTTTTTTTTTTGGTATTGTTTTTAAATAACACTTCACATACTGACTTACTTAATAGTCAAATCTGTCATGGTGTAATCATCAATAGTAATCTCCCCTGGATAAGTCAATCCAATAACTCTGAAACATTGACAGTAATTATCTTCAGCACTTTTCTGCACATTTATAACAGTAATGGTTAAAAATTCATAAAAAAATTAAAACATTTTGCAGTTTAAAAAAATTCGCGTCAGCATGTACTGACTTTGACAGGGAACGTTTTTTTTTTATAAAACAAAGGTAGTCAGTAAACTGAGGTGAAATGAAAATATGGTATGGCTATTACAGGGGCTGATGTTTTGGATGGTGACAGCAACAGCAGCAATATGAGAAAACACAGTGACCTGAATATATACAAACAAATACAGCATCTGTGTATAAAAATCATTTACTTACGATGAGTTCACGGATGCTGACATATTCAAACAACTGGTATCATCAGTAAAAGTCGGGTTGGGTGGCAACATGTCAGAAGTATTGACGAACGTCTTGATGTCTTTCTCCACAGTTTTGTCCATGATGGAACTAACTGTGAACAGGGAGATGTAGACCCCCGTGGTGTAGAACAATGAGCAGTTGTGGAAGTTAAGGTACGTTGAAGTGTTTTCATTTGTGGCCAAAAGATGGCGCCCCAGGTATGGATAGGAGACTGGAATCTGAAAATGAGAGACTTCCATGCTTAAATCATAAACTGTAGAATCATTATGTTTGAGTATTTTGGGTGAGATCTACAGGAACTTTTTAGGCATTTTTATTTCTTCCCACAATTTTAAAGGAGTACTTTTTTCTTTGATGTTACCTTAGATGTTTCTTCAGCCGTGAAATATGCTGTAAAAGGCACACCAGAATGTTTTGCTTTAGATGTCAAAGCACCAATCAGATCATCTGAAAAATATATTGGTGAAATATAAGATGGGCTTGGGACAAAACTGTTGTAAGAGAATTTATCAATGGCTCTAAGAACAAAACATCTCCTTTCTCATAGTTTTATTCTGGATATGACTCTCAAACAAATACATGGAAACAACATTAAAACAATAACCAACTAGGAAGGATTTATTCCAACCATTTACATTCATTTTCAAACAAAGTCTCACCATTCTTTCTGAACTGCTTCAACTTCTCCCCTTCTTCTAAAGTCACATCTGGCAAGTGGACGATAACCAAACCGGGCTTCTCAAAACTCAAAGAGTCAACCTCGTGAGGAGCTGTCACTTCTTGCACGCTGTCCACATACTTCTTTTTCAGTTGCTTTATGGCAGCGACTGGGCTTTCTACAGAAGACAGGTGGGTGGACGTGTGGCTCTCCATTTGTTCCTACAACCACAACATGGAGATACTGTAATTTCTTTTAAAATTCTTATCAGGGGTGGATGGAAGCCATCTTCTGTATTACGAAAGACGGTCGGAATTTTTCAAGTTAACTGTGACAGGCATCTCATTTTTTTCTGTTAAAAGACTGTCTAAAATGGAGGGTGGATCAACAGAGATAATAATTTTGGAAGACTGTCACAAAATATCTCTGGATCCTTCCCTGCTAATGCTTTACTTTTTCTAATAAAATACTTTGAAATACTGTAGAAATGATGGCCTTTCTACTGAAGACATATTGATGTATGGCTGTCCACTTGTTCCTACAACCACAACATGGAGACATTATTGTAATGACTTTGAAAATTTTTGTTTTAATTTTTTCTAATAAATTTGGTTGGAATTCCAAAGAAATAATAATGTCTTAAGATACCTTTTTTAATATCAGGGCTAACATTTGTTCTTATATATTGAGGTAGCTGGTTCCATAGCATGGGGGCTGATATGGAAAATGCCCCTTGTCCATAGTTTTTTTTTTTCTTGCATAACATTATAGCTGACATAATACTTTCTGGGATGAAACCAACCAGTTTTTTTTAACTCTTAATCAACATTTAAAGTAATATATAATAACAAAACATTTAAGGAGGGGGCAGGGGGGAAGAAGCAATTTTGTTCAAATGTTGATTTATTACCATGGTTGAAAGTTGGCATATCAAAACATAATGCTCTGAATTTGTCATCAGTACTGTCAAACACAATGAGATTGCAGATAAGATGTTACCAAACAGGATAATACAGAATGCTGCCTACACCATGTATATACACAGAGTGAACAGTATACTGTATATAATAGTGACAAACTTACTAACAAATCAAGTCACTGGTTTAACAGAATGAAAATGCAGACATAAAAAGGCAGGAAAAGGGTGCTTAATTTCCTAATGACTTTTTAAGCCCAGGTCCAACAGCATTATTATTTTACAGTTTTTTTTCTATCCGATTCAGTAATGTTACTGTTGTACAAGAAAACTGACCCAAAACCCTTATTCAGCCATTTGTGTAGTACTAAACCAAAGCAAACAGTATCCACAACACATTACCTTGATATTGTGAAGAGCTGCTCCATCTTCACTGTCACTGTATGCATTGCTGTACTGAGTGAAATCTTCAACACTCAGCTGAAAAAAGGAGACAATAAGAAATTGCGAAAACTGAAACATTACTTTTTTTGAAAGAAAAATGGGTCTTAATTTATTAATTCTGTAATTTATAATTAAAATACAAACTTTTCTCTCTTCTTTCTGAAGGCTTACAGTATAAAACCATATTATCAGAACTGTCATGTGTCTTCTCCATTTCATGATCATTTTTGTATTCTTTTTAAAGCCATATAGCAAGCAATAAACAAGAACTCTTAACCTCTACATCAACTGGTAAATAAACAACAACACTTACCCTATCTTGCACAAAGACTAATACATGCTGTGCTTTGTTTGATAATAATTTATCAATATAAATATTCTGAAAATCAGGAGTGCTAATACTATGACCATCTAAAGAGGGAGGCAGGTCTTTGGGCAATCTGGAATATAAAACATGGTAAATAAAATATCTGGGTATCTATTAAAGATATCCACAAAAAATTATTCTACTGACAGTAATGCAACTCTCTCACTATGAGACCGAATTTCTTGAACCAATGTGTATGTTTTCAACTAACGTCAACAAGAGTGTCATAGACTGGGTTCCCATACTTAGATCAATCCAACTGGATCAACCTAACTCCCTGGGGGTTCATGCTAAATTGCTGTCAGCTCAAGAGGCTTAAATGTCTGTCACGCCTACCGAATCAGATAGGGGTAAAGATAATTACCCCCTAACAGCTTTACTCGGCATGACAGACGCTTAAGCAGGTTAGGTTGATAGCAATTTAGTGAGACTCCCCAGGGAGACAGATCGATCCAAATATCTGTGAGAATGGTCTCATAGACATCTGGGTGCTGTCATGATTATCATATCTGAATGTTGTGAGACAATGGGATATCATAATTAAGTGGCTTATTGCCCATATTTTTCATTTGAATCATAAGACAAAAAGATACTCAATCTCTCAAACACATTATCAATTTGAGTTAAATTCAGTGTTGAATTTCCGGTACTTTTGTAGTATACCCCCCCACCCTGTAACTTCCTGAAACTTTCATTTTTCAAACATTTTTTACATTGTCCATTTCACCTATGTCAAAACTGTTGAAATAAAATGTTTTTGTAATTACCTGTGGTCTTTTTATTAGTTTTAATCACGTTTAATCCACCCCATTGAAATACAATGTGAAAATTTACAATGTACCCGCAGTCAATAACTTGCCGCGTTTTCGTTGGCTAACTCTACCTTATTTTATGTGAACATAGGATTGATACATTGTATACTTGGTCTTCCTCTGTGAAATTATTATGAGCTACTTGTTCACATAAAATTACCTTAGAGTTAGCCAACGAAAACGCGGCAAGTTATTGACTGCGGGAGTAAATTGAAGATTCTAACATTGTATTTCAATGGGCTGGATTAAACGTGATTAAAACCAATAAAAAGTCCACAGGTAATTACAAAAGCATTTTATTTCAACAGCTTTGACATAGATGAACAATAAAATGTAAAAAACTGTTTGAAAAGTGAAAGTTACAGAAAGTTAGAGGGTGGGGGGGTATACTACAAAAGTCAGACCTTGGGCAGGACTTTTTATCCAAAGTAAAGCCTCGACTGTTTTGGTTTATTTATTCTTTTTTCTTTATGATATGTTTCAATATCTAAATATACATACAGAGAGGATTTGCGAGTAAGAAGATATCACAAAAGTGTCAGCTCTATAACTGTTGAAGATTTTCATTGCTGACGATCAATAATATGATGAGCACAAGCCGTCTCGTGACTACGGTCTACAGAAATGAACACTTTCTAAATTACGCTAAAAATCATGTAGATTCCTCTCAGGTATGACAAGCATACTCACAGACTGTTTGACCATATTAAAACTGGAACTTTGCTCGCTGCATCAGAAAATCCAAATATTAAAGAGAAAACTGAGAAAAACGCTAGCCGCTGTAAAGAAATCATCTTGGAGGTCAGAATCATGTGACAACCGGAAGCCGCGTCTAATCTCGCAAGGTGCGAGATGTTACCCACGTGACCGGTCTCTTCGACCATCATACTCCGCCATCATGGGTGAGTTTCAACACGTGTTGAAAGAATATCTCTAAAATCTCTTTCTAAAACAAAATAGACCCACAAAATGTACTCCTAATAAAGCCTAGAATACTTATGGATTTAGTTTTATGTGTACTCGTTGCAATCTGAACGGTATTTTAATAAAAACTTCTCAATGTATCTGGTACGGTTAAGTATTTATAACTACAAGATCGACAAAACAACGTAAAACAAATGCTTTTCTCTCTCCCTGCTGTCTCCTTGGAGTATTTCTTTACAGACAGCAAAATGAAATAGTCTTTGTTTAACGCTTCTGCATTATTAAATACGTCGTTCTAAAATATTTATATAGCAATCTATACTTGAGTCATATGAAAGAAATTGGAAGGTAGTTGAAATATGGGGATTTTTTTAATTTTCGCAGGTAAACCCAGGGGATTGAGGACGGCACGTAAAATGCGCGACCATCGTCGCGACCAGAGATGGCACGACAAAGATTACAAGAAAGCTCACTTGGGTACAAGGTGGAAGGCCAACCCTTTCGGTGGAGCCTCTCATGCCAAAGGAATTGTGCTTGAAAAAGTGTAAGTATGAGGCATATATAGACAAAGTTACTATCTGGCCTGTCTGAAGACAGTTCTCAAGTAAAATAGTATAATTTATAGTTGTACTGGTACACGGGTTATAGCAATTAATAATGCTACAGGACCCCTTTTCACAAGTAATTAAGTTTACTTTTACTGTAAGTAATTGATAGGTTATGTTGCAAGTTATCATGATTAAGTCGTCAGAGTGCACCATACGAAATATATTTAAACCACTCCTATTTATAACATCATACACAACTGAGCAAATCACAGTCGCACGTTTACATGCTGTCTCCTTTTTTGTCTTGAAACGAGGACAGAATTGCACCAGCACCTCGACTCCTAACTTTAGTGCTGAAACTTCCAACTTGCTCTCAAGATTATAAGTTCAAGACATAATATCACATAGCAAGCATAAAGATATTGTTTTTGATTGATGCATCTTTTTATTCCAGTGGAGTAGAAGCTAAACAGCCCAACTCTGCCATCAGGAAGTGTGTGAGAGTGCAGCTGATTAAAAATGGCAAGAAGATCACAGCCTTCGTGCCCAATGATGGTTGCCTTAACTACATTGAGGTAACTATAGACATGGTTTTAGGAACAGAGAAATTTTGGATCACGAGTGCATAGAAATCTCACCCACTAATGGAGTCTGGTATAGATGAAAATTGGTGTAAGACTGATGCTTGATGGGTGAAGTTGGAGAATGAAAGGGGTAGATTGAAGGGGATTGTGTTAACTTTTCCTAATAGTAATTTGGTAATAATTGTGAAGTGAGGTGTGTATTTAAGAAGTTTTTGTCACCCACAATATCACTAAAACCAAAAGGCATTTGCTGCACACTGTTCGGTTTGTAAGCCTGTCTTTTTTAACTCTTTTATGGCTTAATTTATTCCCAGTCATTTATGATTGAATATCTGAATTTTTGAATTGAATTATATTATATATTTGACACCACATTTAATTCAAAAAGAAAATTGACTATTATCTGTTTTTCATTGTCTTTTAAGGAAAATGATGAAGTACTGATTGCTGGTTTCGGACGTAAGGGTCACGCTGTTGGTGATATCCCAGGAGTCCGTTTCAAGGTTGTCAAGGTTGCCAATGTCTCCTTGTTGGCTCTTTACAAAGAGAAGAAAGAAAGACCAAGATCTTAAAGAGACTGTAGAAAATAAAGTGAAGCAAAAAAATGAACTTTGTGTATAAAACAAACATATTTGAAAATCAATAAATGATGTCAAATAATCAGAAATCTTTTGTTTTTTGTTGTACACCTTTAACAATATATGGGGTTGATCAAAACCTGGACAGTTACAAAAAGTTTTAAGAAACTAGATTGTACAGACTACTCTTGCAATATAATTTTGGAAATAAAATGGAGAAAAAATGTTAGAAATATTTTTCTGCTTCGTAACATTATTGCATAATTATTAGGTACATTAAAATTGTTTTCTCCACTAAGTTTTATTATTTTCATTGTCAATGGATGCAAAAAAAAAAGGTACATTCTATTTCATAAATGTAAGGATTTAATCTTGAATAAATTCCTTTTAGAGTTCAGTTTCATACACATGTAAAAATACTTCGCCTTGAAAATGAGTTCATATTGACAATTTTTTGCTGAATTAATATACCTTTTAAATCAAATCCCCCTGCTATTTACCCATCTACAATTTTCAAAATTGTTTTTTAATTTTTTATCTAGAGCATTTTTTGTTTTTTTAAGGGGTGGACCCTTTTGGGCAATACAATCATTAGTATAGTGGTATTAGTATAGAAACTTGCACGTAATAAGAAATGCCTTCGAAAAATGCAGAAATGATGGGAAATGTAGGGGATCAAATGTTTTTTATTAGCATGGATTTTACAATGCGAGTCTGTTCAAATTGTGTTAGTTGTGACTACAACCTCCACAATGTGATAATTGCATTGAAGCCAAGGTGAAGGTCGCTAAGGATGAATCATGGCTGAAACCAGTTGATGATTTCCTGACGAATAAATGGACCTGTTGGTGTACATTTAAGGTAAGAAATGTGCCGCTAATGCATTTATTTAAGAGAATTGAATTACACATAAAGCTTAGACTGGTTTTTTAATTGAAAAAAGTACTGTAAGTAGATTTCTTGTTGCTAATAACTTGCAAAGAAATTGAAACAGGAAGACTCTGTAGAAGATGTGATAGTTGATATAATCTTGCACAGGTTCTTATTGATTTGACCGAGGTTTTTCGAGTGTGACGAAATCGGTCCATTTACTTATACCCTTTAATTGTGGCCATTTATTGACTTCTTGGTGCTTTATATATAAACTATAGGAACAAAACGTGGTTCTTTAACACGGATATCTTGTTACTAAAGTAAACATCGAGATGTTCAAATATAAATAGTCTCAGGCTCGCTTCCTTAAATTGTTTGTCTCGCTTTCTTTTCAGTATAAAGAAAGTAAATAAACAAAATGGACAGTGATGAATAAAGATAAAGAATGTATAGGCCCTATACCGGCACTGTTTATTGGACAGTTATAAGTCTTGTTGAATAATATGCTGTTGAGTATTTTAAACACACTTACTAGGCTAAAAGTACAATCATCAAGCCTGTTGCCAGCAATTTTTATAATAATGAAGGGTACGATAGGAAATACTAAGACTACTTTTGGTGCTTTGCTTAATGCTTTTAATTGAAATATATATGCCTAATCACAAATCATGACTCTTAAAAATGTATACCCATTGCTGAAGAAAACACAGATAGTGATGGCCTTACAGAAATAATATAGAGCAAAGAAAAAGTTATATGTTTATATAAACAATATTAGCCCTGCTTGCTTTCTAAACATTTCACTGTGTTCATTTTCCAGATACTGTATAATTAACAAATACAGATTTGAGTCTGAGAGAGATTCTGAAAGAGCACCAAAGGGTGTTTTAAATTAAGTACAGATGGCTGCCACATTCAAGCACTAAGGCTTCGTTCACATGCAATGTCTATTTTCTAAATTCTATTTTCTATTTGTGGCATGTCTTATGATCACGGTCTGTGCACTGAATATCCCGCCGCGTAATTACTGGCAGCGCGAGCCAGTTACTATAAGTTACTATAAGTAACTGGCTCGCGCTGCCAGTAATTACGCGGCGGGATATTCAGTGCACAGACCGTGATCATAAGATAGCGCGAATAGAAAATAGAATTTAGAAAATAGACATTGCATGTGAACGAAGCCTAAGTCAACATAATGTTAACAAAGCAGACAGTTTGTTTATCAAGAAATTTATCAGTTTCTCATCCATGTGGAGCATGTATATGATATGTATATTAAAGGGCCTGTGGCATTTAGGTTTTGATTTGCCGTGATCCAAACTAAAATGATATGGAGTATTGCAAGCATTTTAGTGGAAAGTCACTTCCTTATTTTTTAGTGTCATTTTATTTATTTATTTTAAGATATGTAGTTTGGTGCAATATCAGTATGATTTTACTTACAAGATGATATTGCTAATTTATTATCTGATTATCAAAGTTATGTAGGGCTAATTTTAAAGTGGTAATAGATTTAGATTTTTTTTAATTGATTGATTGAGAGAAACATTAGATTAGAAATTGACAGAAATTGATGAAGTTTGATGATGGACTCTAATTCATGCCTGACCTAAAATAATTTTTTAATAACCATGACATGTAAACATTAAAAGGTTGGTTATATCAAATAATTTAAAAACCTTTTACGTGTATGCGTACTTTTTCAAATTTTTTATAGAGAGACAGCTTTGCAATAATATTTGTGTAGAGGACCAGTGTTAATATTTGAGTCTTCTAAATATTTGTATACTTAGTTAACTTCCACTGATCTAATTTATTTTTTCTCAGCTCTGAAAAAAAATTGTCAAAATATCAAGTGATATATTTATTTATTATTTTTTATTTATTTATTTATTTATTTATTTATTTGTATCTGAATGTTATTTTTGGATTTTTTCAATTCCTTTTTAGATGTAGAAGACCAGAAATATTGCGAGTGTCTAGCAAAGGTACCAAGCAGACTTGCCAACAATGGAGAGCGCTATTTACCTCCCATTGTTGCTGTGCTTCTTTGTTTTCCTATGCAAAGCTGGTAAGTATGTCACCATATGTTAAGAAAATAAAATTATATATTATTGAATATTAAATCTGTTATCTATCTAGAATTAATTTTTTATATGTTATTATTAACAGCCATTGTAATAAATTAAATATGAAAATGATTTACAGCTATTATGATATTTCACCAATATCTTAAGACAGTATCCCATCTTTTCTTTTTCTAGAAAACAAAGTCATTAAAAGTCGCAGAGGAAGTGTAGTAACTTTACCATGTGATCATGGCGGCATCAACAGGGCCAACATTGATCAAGTCCTATGGTTCAAAGGGACTCAGTCTCTTCTTTCCTGGTCAAATATAGGTGTCACTAGCACTGCTGGCACTGACCCGAAAGCCCAAGAAAGGATTACCATCATCGAGGCAGATTTCTCGCTGAGATTAAATTCTGTGGTGATGGAGGACAGTGGACAGTACAAGTGCTACGTGGAGTATACTAGTGGCAATGATACACTGATGGCGAACTCGACACTACTGCTCACTATACAAGGTGGTTTGACAGATTAAACACAATTTTGTTTTGCCAAGGTTTTACTTGTATATTTAGTTCAAGAAGTACAGAACACTTTATCATTCTGTAACAGTTGGTGGTGATATCTTTTTTTATTTTTCAAAAAAAAAAATGGCAGCAATACAGTCATTCTGCACTAGTTTTGACATCCAGCAAAAAGAACAAAAAATGAAAACTTTTTGTGTAACTCAAAAATTTGCTTATCCGGTTGCCAAAAGTTAAAATTTAAATCCAGGAAAAAATAAATATTGGTTGTGTGAAAAGGTGAAGTTCTTTTGCACTTTCTTTTATACAGATGTGCCAAGCCCACCAGGGAAACCAATAATATCGAACATCCAGTCCAGGTCCTTTCATGTGACATTCACAGCCAGTGCACTAAGTAACAACAGCCCAATTAAATATTACAATGTCCATGTCATACAGAGGTAGGTGAAGAGAGAATATCTGGGGCCCCTTGTTACAAAACAAAATAAGTCAAAAATATTTCTTGGCAAAGACTTAGGATTTGAATTTTAGTCGACTACTAATATGTTAACTGAGAAATTTAGTGGCTGCTTCCTCTTTTTCTTTTTTTTTTTAAGTCTTAGCCCTTAGAGTTTATCTTGATATAATTTTTATTTGTAGTACTTTTACTCTCAAGTACACCCGCCCATTTAGTTTTTTCAACTACATTTCATCGAAAATAGTAATTTGTAATTTAAAAGCGCCTGAAGAGCTATGTTGCAGAGTCCACTTTTCACTCTTTTGTAAGCAATCCAATTTTTTTCAGACAAAGTCAAAAATTCTATGTGAGTTTATATTGACAATTGTCTTCATAAGTGTAAAATATTTTTACATTTTTTCCATAATTTTTCATTTCAGGGGCGGAAATTGGGAAAACGCCATCTCCTTCCAGGTGCATGCCACCTCCAACCTGTCAAATATTTTGATATCGTCTGCTGGTATCATCAGACCGTACAGAAATTACGTGGTCCGCGTTTCCGCCATCAATGAAATAGGGAACAGCAGCGCCAGTGAGGAGACTGAAGTTCAGACGGCTGAGGACGGTAGGTGGTTGAAGATGCTTTTAACCCCTGGTTTTTGTGTTTGAACTCAGATGTCCGACTTTTTTAGGAGTTTTGTCCTATTAGTGATTTGAAGTTTTAATTTTAACTGATTATTTTATTTTTTTAGTAGTTTATATTATTTATATTTTAAACATTGTGTTTTTAACTATCTTACTTATTTTAAGAACTTGCGACAGACATTTATTTCTTATATATATTTATTTTATATAAGCTGGATATATTATTCTTGTTATAAGACGAAGATCTCCTGCAGTAAGATTAAAACATTTGAAGAGTGGTGATTTTAGGAAGATTTTTAGTGAAAGAAAACTTGAGATATAAAGTTTAATATTTTAATTTGTCATCCAAATGTACTTGAAATGTTCTTAATCTTCTTCAAAACAGAAATATCATACTTGAAGTTAGTATATTTTTTACAAGAAATAGTTTCTTTCAAGGTAATAGTAAAGTTAACATGAGTGAAAGAAAATTCAGAAAATTTGATAACTTATTTTTAAATGTTTATTATAATTATTTTTATTATTTTATTGACAAATAGTTCACAAATTTAAAGTGAAGCCTTACACTGTTTATGCAGGTCACAGAGTGATTTCATATGATGGCACATTGCCCTATGCACACAATTATTACTAACAATTTAGCTGTGTAAAGCATGATGGGTTAATTTCACATCTGTTAGAAAGGTACAAGTCCTACGCAAAAGTTACCAAGACTGATGTGAAGTTTACTCCACATGCTTTAATATATATTACTTTTCAAAAAAGTGATCGATATAATATAACTAATATTATCATTATGAAAATCAGGTTCCTCAATCCCTATTGACATTTTTATTTTATTGTTAAATTCACTTTTTCATTGCATCGGAATATTTCTTACTAATTATGTGTATTTCTTACAGGCACTAAAAACTGCACAGCATGTACTATTACAGTAGGAGACTTCAGAATTGACTGAAGATCCCTTAAATTCCTTTTGATTTTAACATGTGAAACATTTTCTTTTTTCCTGTAGAAAGCACTAATGGGTGTCTTAAATATACTTAATGATGCTTCAGTTATTGATGGTATTAAATGACCAAGGGAGAAAGTCATATTGAGGAATTGAATCTTTTTATGATTAGTTTATGAATTGATAGAATTGGGGGGAAAAAAGGTCTCATTTTGGGATACTCAGGTACTTAGAGAATGAAGAAAAGGTATACATGTATGCAATGTAAACAGTATGTAATAGCATTTTATGAATGGTAAGTCATTCAGGGATTTTTCAGATCTTTTTGTATTGATTTTGACCTGAATGGTAATTTAATATACCCATAGATATCTTTCTTACATTTCTACTAAATTGATAATTCCTCTTAATAACACATAAAAGCCGATTGTTTTTCTTTCTCCCTTTTTTAAAGTCATTTGCATGCTGGAAATTTGCACTCAGTGCAGTGTGAAGTTTTGTCACAATGCATTTCTCTTTGACTGCCACCTAATAAATGTTAACGAAGCCAAGACTAATCACTTCCTATTTGCCTAATACCTTCTCTGTTCTTTATGCTTACATCTCAGTCACAGTAAAAAAACTATCTCCAGAAAATGTTATGGCAATTATATATTTATATAAGGAATTACCACATTTATCTATCTGTTTGGAAGAACACTGCTGGTATTGAATGCCCAAGAACCAACTGTGAGCATAGCGCCATCTATTGAACATTTTGCACTTTAACTTTTTTTTCTCACACATTTGGCACCAGACTAGTATACTAAGGCATGTAAGTATAAACATGATTGTTTCTGCCCGTGTGAACTTACACAGCTTGGGGGAAAAAACTCTACCCATCTTCACGTCACTGCTACAGTTGTATTTATACCTCCTCTTCAGAGCCGCTCGCTAAGCCCACCATCCTTGAAATACGTAACCTGACGAATTCGTCAGTCCAGCTTCACTGGCAGGATCCGTCACCCGACACCCTGAACGGGGAACTCCTGGGGTATAAGATAGTGTATAAGCGCCACCCAGAGGGGAACCTGCACCCAATTACGGTGCCTAACCCAGATGAAAAGGTGTGTTTGTGTTCCTGTGTGCATGCACGTGTGTGTGTGTGTGTGTGTGTGTGTGTGTGTGTATGCGTGTGTGCACCTCTAACCAAGCACATGCTGTGTTTCTTGCTTGCTGTGACTTGAAAACTGTTACTTTGTTATTTAACATTTTTCTTGGTGGTTTGGATTTTAACAACAGTCTTGTGTTTCTTTTGAATGAGTGAAACACGTGGGGGTTGTGCTGAAGGATAGGGATGGTTTCTGTGTGACATTAAATGCACTTTTTTTTTTTTTTTTTGGGGGGGGGGTTATCCCAGACAACTGATAAATGCAGAAAATGTTTTGATTTACACTATAGATTAGTAGTCTTATGAATGAATGTTATAATTGTTGAGTCTGAGTCTTTAATTTCATTTACATTTGTCTTTCTAAATGCACTTTGCAATTTGGGTTTGTAAGTCACATGTGAGATGGTGTATTTTTTGAAAATTGGTTAAAATTTTTTTCCAATATGCCTCTGTTTATATATTTATTTATGCAGTGAAACCACTGTTGCAAGTTGCAATCTATGTGATATTTTTTGCGTCCACTTAAAGCAGCTAACACAATTGATTAGGCTTTTGCCTGTAATAAAACATTATTATCAACCTTGCTTGCCATATTACAGGCACACAGAACACGTCGGCCATTTGTCCGAGGACTCTAAATAGTTCTTAACAAGGCTTAGAATACTGATCAGCTTATGAATATGAAAATGCTTCATTTGAATTATAAAATTGCCAGTTCAGTTGGTCTCTAATAATTTTTAGCCCAGTTGTTATTTTTATGAGAATTTGTTGCACATAGTGATTGATGTTAATGAATTTGTTTTGATTTGTTGTAACCTTTTTTTTTTCTCAACAAAATTGTAGTACATAATTGAATTGATTGGATAACTTCATGCAAATATTTTCTCATCAATTTTTTCTTTTTTGTTGGTTTGTTTGTTTGATTGATTTTTTTTTTTTTTGGTTTGACTTTAGCCAAATTAATCCTTTTGCAAAAAGAGTCTAGTTGATGTGGTGTGTGTGTATGTTCATTTATTTGGGGGGGGGAGGGGTACAGTTGTGGAATAACCTGAATGCTAAGAAATCATTTCTAATACCTCTTCTCAAGAATTTCTTTCCTGAAGTGCCTGATTTGCACGTGATTTTGTCCTGAAATCAGAATATCAGCTAATGTTCTGCTTTCAAAGTTCAAAGGCTTGCTATAATAGTTAGATTCTACTAACATTGATATAAAATAGGTACTTGAAGTTCTTTTTAAGTAGGGAAAGCTAATAAGTAGCCAGTAAGATATATGTAAATGACTCTCGGTTGATGAGATTAAGTATTGATATTTTGAGGAATACCAGAATTTAAGCCTTTTCTTAAATAACCATAATTCTTGTAAGTACATATTTATAAATATGGATTTAAAATTTCAGTTGTAATATTGTAACAGCAGCAGTATAAAGTTTACTGGTTTAAAGAAGTTTTCTAAAGCAATGCTGAGCACCAAAAAGAATCCATTTAGTAAGATTTATTTTATGATAAATAATCAGCAGTTGGTTGCCAAGTCCCGATATCACACCCTGTTTTATATGACGATATGCTTTGTTCTTTGCCCCAGTTCTGTAATATAACCCACCTGAAGCCGCACACAAGGTACCTGGTCGCTTTGCAACTCTATAACAAGGCAGGAGAGAGCCCAAAAGCAGAAGAGATATTTTTAACAGACGAGGGAGGTCAGTAGCATGTTTTAAAAGAATTGCTGTTTGTGGTGTCCAGCATGGTTAAGTTTATATTTCCAAAAGGTTGGTTTCATGAGAGTAGTGTCTTGGATATGTGGTGGTGCCACCTACAGTTAAAAAGCACCAGGATAAAATGTTGTGCAAGCACTTTGTTAAAGAGAAGGTGGCACCGAAAATGAAAAAAAAAAAAAAAAAAAAAAAACTCATTCCGCATTCCCATAGGTGGACACTTTAAGAATCTGTTCATGTATTTTACCCTCCAAGGAATGAAACTATTTGTTTCTAAGAGATTGTTTGCAATGTGGTGTTGTGCCACGTTTTATGGCATTTGTGTTACTGGTCCATATCTTATGTAAAAAAAACAAACAAACATATTATTGATAGGTGGCATATCTGCTTTGTTTATATGTTATTTTGGCCAGGATGGCATACAAGAATTGACTGTAAAATCGTCTTTTTTCACAAAAATGGGGAGCGTCTACTAAACATTACATCAAAATGACATTTGAACTGAATATACAGGGGCGGATTTAGGCCGTCTTCTGGGTCTTCCGGAAGACGGTCAGATTTTCAAGTTTACATTGACGGGTATCTATTTTTTTCTGTCGGAAGACGGTCAGAATTATAAATATATAGGCCTATAATATGGAAGACTGTCAGATAATATTTCTGGATCCGCCCCTGATATAGAATGACATTAATATTTTAGAATGTCAGTTCATGCGTATGAATTTGTATTGTGTCATAGAGGCTCTGTTATTTTTAAGTCACCATTGGAATTATATTGTGCTCTTTTTGCACCTCTTCTATTTATGGGATTCATTAGCAGGTAATAAAAATTGTTGTATAAAAGTGCCTTTTCCACATTGTTATCATTTTTCTAGATGTATTTATTTTTACAGAAGGGAGTATTTATGTTGCAAATTTTTGAAGAAAAACTGCATTGTCATTGAATATTGGCAGTATGTGATTTTAAGTGTAACAATTATTTTAACATTGACTTCATGAGCATGTATGATGTATTTTGGAATTGTTCTAAGCGATGTTTGGTTATCTCTTTTATCTTTTGTGTTCTTTAGTGTGATTTATCGTGAAAAAAAATTGCATATCATGTTTTATTAATGTTGCAATGAACTGTTACCCAGTGTTATGTTGTACAAAATTTTTTAAACAAGAAAAAAAAAGACTGCTGTTAATAGAGTGCACTGCAAGATAGGAAGATATCAAGCTCTCAACAGTCTTTATGACATTTCAAAGTAAATTTCTACAATCAGATTGGTTGAGAATTGCTGGATTGCATGTTGTCAGTTATTGAAACAAGGCTCACAGGTAGCATTCACTATACAGTCACTTACTAGGAGGGAAGGATACGAAATGGTATAGGGCCTTTGAAAAAAGCTTTATTGGGACTGCTGGTATCTCTCCCGATACAGGTTTTTTCGAGAACACCCCCCCCCCCCTCTCTCCACAGGTAATTGACTGCGTAACTACAATGTCCCCTCTGAAAAATTCAGATATGAATGGTGTATACAGTTTAAAATTTATATTTAAAATAAGTTGACTAAACAGTTGTGCACAGAGGGGCTTGTGCTTGGGTGGTGACTTATTTAAATACAGTGCTCCAAACTGGACTGCCTCGGAACCCATTTTATGTGTGTGCGTATTTTGTTAAATGCTTCCATGAATGACTGTCACAATGCTATTTTGATATGTATAAAGTAATGTAATTCTAAAAAACGCAATTTTATGTTGCAGAAATGTGATCGGTAGAAATAAAACAATGCGTTATTTTATAACTTAATTATCAGTGTATTTAAGTTTAATTTAATGTCCTTTTACACATTTTTCACCAAATCAGTGATTAGTGAAGAACGTTAAAGCATATTTTAAGTCAAAGTGAATTGTCCTTAGTAATTTACCAACAAGCCATGTCCAGGTGTTGATCAGGTTATTACACAATATGATTTACTTAGCAGATGGTAACCCAAAAAATGTATGGATACTAAGATAATATGGCTATTGATGGACTATTTCAGTTAGCAGATAATGATTTTTTTAAATATATTTATTGCATATTTATGTATAATGAATATTTGTTTTGATATTTTATCTTTCTTGTTTTATTTTACTTTTACAGAGGCTTTAAAAATTTGTGGGTTAGTTTTGTTGATGATCATTGAAGATAATAAAGCATTTGTTGTTACAGTTACTAGCAAGATTAATGGTGGCATATTTAATTCCTTTTTTCAGCCCCAAACCGTCTGTGTCTTGTAACAGTAGAAATCAAGGTTTAAAACTTTCATTTTTCATCTTTACAGTCCCAAACAGACCTCGTATAACCGACATCAGTAATCAGACGTCTACGTCTTTTGTCGTGGCCTGGGTAATACCCACAGAGCCTAACGGGATCATTACAAGTTACAAAGTACGTTGGAATGAGACCGACTCCTCAGGGAATAGGATTGGACAAACCAAGGCGGAAACTATTCGTGTAGAGGAGGGGTTTAAACCTACGATGAAGATAAGATGGCTGAGTATGTTATTTATTTATTTGTTTATTTTTATTATAAGGCAATAGTTAATATGCAAGTCTTCAAGTTAATAGGATTGTGTTCATTTCTTTAGACTTTCAGAAACAAAAGAGTTTTTATAAGTGTTAAACTGTTACAGTTAGTTTCCTTTTTTTTTTAAAGATTTTAAAAGTTTGTAACCAATTAAACCTTGCATTGTTTGATGTAAATGTGATTTGATGATTTCTATTGTTATTGTTGTCATTATCCTTTGCCTAATTTCTTTAATCTCAAAAAAACAATTTTCTCACAATACTGAAAATCAAAAAACATCTGAAGAATTTTCTTTTACTTTTATGTCAGTGCACAAAGAAATATTTACATCTGAGCATTTATTATAATAAAAAGAATTATTACTGAGGGTATTTTTGTTTCTTTCACAGAACCATACACAGACTATACAGTGAGAGTGGTAGCTCATACATCTAAGGGGGAAGGAGAAGAGAGTGTACAACAAAGCGTGATCACAGATGTTTCAAGTAATGGATTTTCTCATCATAAAAATAACTTTAATGATTATCAATGGAGTGATTTGTTGAAAAAATTAGTTTTCTCAACACAGGTTTTAATCAGTTTTTGTTGAAAAAAATTTGCACACCTTAGCAGTCGGTGCCATAAACTTTTTAGCTTATTACTAGCCTTTTAAACCATCAGTATCCTAAAATCAGCAGGTCTATATCTCAGGGCTCACTTGTCTGAATAAAACTTTTGAAAATTTGAATACAGGGGCAGATTTAGGCCGTCTTCTGGGTCTTCCGGAAGACGGTCAGATTTTCAAGTTCACATTTTCGGGCATTCAATGTTTTCTGTCAAAAATGGAGGATGGATCAACAAAGATAATTTGGAAGACTGTCAGAAAATATCTCTGGATCCTCCCCTAGAATAGCCATGTCAAACCACTAAATTCACAAAATTTGAAAAATCTAGGGTCAAAAAAAAATTTAACTGGATGCAGTTGTAGGACCAGAGGTGAACAATGTAGACTGCCAGTGAATCGCTCAGCCGTTAATTGGAAGGCATTATGAGACAGCCAATATTTTCAAAGATGGCTGGACAGCTTGTGAATTTTTATTTCTTTCTTTATTTTTTTTTTTTACAAAGGCTTGGACTCCCTGAAATTTTGTAGGAAATTACAAGTGATAATTTTGGAAAAAAATAGGTATAGATGGACTGTGCCTCCCCAATCCTGAGAAACGCCCTGCATGCAGCTATGCATAACATTCCATCTTTAATCTTCCAGATCCAGGACGCCCACAAAGAGTACTGGTCAAGCAGAATGAGACGGGAAGTGTCCTGCTGACGTGGCATTCCCCAATTTCCTTCACTCGTCATATCGACAGATATTTAATCAAGTACTATAAGGAAGAAGAGGGCGCATTAGGAGCCGTAGAGAAGACGCTGGATGTTAACCCGGAGAGGAGAGAGGACGCAAGAAATGAGCCAGAAGAAGTAAGTCTGTTTTCTCATATTTATAGTTTTTTTTTTTTTTTTTTTTTTCTAGCACATTGTTTATTTTCTTGAACTGATTATGAAGAATTCCATTTTTATTTTGAGACTGAAGGTAATGGTTGTGGATGCTTTAGTCAAAATTCAGTATAAAAGGTGCTTTGTTTGACAATAGATTCGGATATTGGGAAACGTTGCCCTCACTGCGTTGAATTGATATGGATATTTAGTATAAGTATCAGCTTAGTTAATATAATTATATATTAATATTATATATCTGTATTGTATGCAATCATCACATAAGTGATGTATTTAGTGACAATAAACTGTAAGTACATATAGATATTGAGAAACAGACTATAAAGACCCTATTTCAGTATGCTCTACATATTGAGTAACAGACTGTACCGATTCTATTTCAGTATGCTCTACATATCGAGTAACTGACTCTATAGCGATCCTATTTCAGTATACTATGCATATTAGGGAACAGACACTATACAAATCCTATTTCAATATGCTCTACATGTTGATTAACAGGCTCTCTTAATCCTTTTCCAGTATGCTCTACATATTATGGAACATACTGTAAAAATCCTATTTCAGTATGCTCTACATATTGAGTAACAGACTAAACTGATCCTATTTCAGTTTGCTCTGCATGGCTTGGAAGAAGGGGTGGTGTACAAGTTCAGTGTGGCTGCAGCAACAAAGAGCTTGTTTAGTTCTGAGTACAAGATAGGCCAGTACACTGTACCTGTGACACTAACACTGGAGGGGAAAAGAAGTAATCACTCCAGCTCTCTCTCTCCCCAATTCTTATGGCATTAATTTGCTATAATTTGTATAAAAGATAATGCCATTTATCTTAAAGCTTTATTTATAGCTGTGGATCAAAATTTTTTAGCAGAAATGTGATATTTTTGGTTTCCAAATTTGAATAAATTGTCTTTGGTAATATACTTTTCCATAAACTGAAAGGAATTTTTTCATTCATTAAAATTAATTTGTTAATATTACAACAATTATCTTTGTCAGTTACAACAGATGCCCCAGAACCTGCCATGGGTCTAGCTGCTATCCTTGGAGTAATTGCTGCAGTAGCAGTGATTCTCATTGTCCCCATTGTATTAGCAATTGTCTTCCTACTGAGGTAAGTTTGCAATTGCTGCAGTAGCAGTAATTGTCATTGTGCACATTGTATTGGTGATTTCCATTCTACTTACATAAGTAAGTAATATTCATTGCTCTTCATAATGTTTTGGCATTTGTCAGTACTCGCTCATTTTAATGTGCAGCAAAGCATGCTAAACACAAATTCTGTCAATGCTGTAATGCATAATATTACAACGAGTTGAGATCTACTTTAGTATAATAACAGTGATGTCAATACCCTTTTGATAACTCCCATTTCTCTCATTCAACTCTAAGGTGATTCAAATGCACATTTAATTGTTTGACTTACTTATTATTAGACACCAGAAAATGACCTTTTCCTTTTTTTTTTTTTTTTTTTTTAAAGACGTAAGAAAAATTACCAGGAAACGACTACCAAGGGGTCAGATGACAATATATCACAGCCTTTACTACTTATGGAGTTGTATGGTAAGTGAGAAAGATTTTTGTCTATTTTTATTTATTTTTATTCTTTTTTTTAACCTTTTTCCAGGGGAGGGTGTGAGAGTTGTAAGGGAAGCATGAATCTTATGGACAGTATTCTGAAAATCATATTATTCACTTCTTATGTGTTAAATTTTATTTGTTTGCTGAGATGTTTGATCAATTTAATGAATGAAAAAATTCCTTTCAGTTTATGGAAAAGTATATTACCAAAGACAATTTATTCAAATGTGAAAAAAAAGAAATAAGCACTTTGTACAAATGATATGGTTGAATACTTGGTTATTAAGCCCAATGAAAACTTTGCTGAAATGATCAGTAAAAGTGTCATTCTAAAATGAAAAGAATTTGAAGGTCTGCCAATGCAGTATTTACTAATGACAATGGTTCCTAGGTCTTTCTGGAACTTGAATTGTCAACCATTTTACCTGAAATAGTTTTTTTTTTCTTGATAACTTAACCTCAGCTAGAGATTTTACAACTGACATTTGTTTTTACTGATTTATTTTTTCAGGAAGAAGCAATTACGAAAGTGTCAGCATTGAGAACTGGGCAGACCATGTGAGGAAGATGCACGCTGATGGGGATCTACGTTTCTCTGAGGAATATGATGTATGTTCACATATGTATATGTGTATTAATGTTCATGGTTGTGTGTGTGTGTGTGTGTGTTAAAGTGTGTGTGTGTGTGTGTGTAAGTGTGTGTGGGTACGAGTGCAAGTATTGATACATGTCCTGAAACACATGTATGTGCATCTGTATTTATATTTGCTGGGAAAGGATGTAAAAGAGTTGTGTTCATTAAATGTATGAGAGAAAGAGAGGAAGGAAAAAGATAAAAGACCTTTCAAGATTTTTTTTCTGCTGTAGGACATCAACAACAGTGTGAACAAGAATATCACTCAGGACGCGGCATACATGGACGAGAACAAGCCTAAGAACAGATACGTCAACATTTTGCCATGTGAGTTTAACAGTGGTTTCAGTTTTAACATTTACTTATTAATTTACATATATCTTAAACAGTTCTATCATGACAAAGTTAAATAACATATAACAGTATAAGAAAATAAAATCATTTTGGCATTCGTCCCTCTTATTAATAACATTTAAATGTACATAGTTTTTTTTATTTAAAAATTAAGTGTTTATCTGAAAATAAAGTCTTGATTTTCATTATTGATACTGCAAAACTTTATTTGATATCATAGATAATTCTGTTCTTGAGAAAAAGGCAAGTCATTTCTAAAGAAACTTAATTTGTTTTTGTACTGTCTGCCACAAGATATTCATGATGTTCTAAAATGTGCAAGATTCTGAGCTTCATTTACTCCTTAGATTTAAATTATATTCACTGGAGTCGAGATGGTAGCTATATCTACACAAGTTTGTCCTAGAGCGCATTCAGGGCTCCGTATCTCAAACGGTTCGTTATGTTGCACACGCGCTCAAGCGTCTCGATTCCATGGCCCTGTATCTTGAAATAGAATTGGTTATGGAATCGAGACACTTGCACACGTGCGCAACATAGCGAACCTTTCGAGATACGGAGCCCAGAACAGCAGACTATCAGATCCACGGATCAAATATGGCCGACCCACTTGAATGGTTGTTGCATAATCCCGCGGGGAATCTGTTCAGTGCTTGATTGGGAAATAAATGGCAAGCGTTTTAGTGCGTCACCAAATTTGATCCGCAGATCTGTTAGTCCACTGTACTGAATGCACTACAAGTGTTTTGTGCAGTTGTCAAAATCTTGTTTTTGTCCTTTTCAGTTGACCATACTAGGGTAGTGCTAAAGCCAATGTCCAAACATAATGACTACATTAATGCCAACTTTGTTGATGTAAGTGGACACTCACAGCTTTCTCTGTGTGATTTAATCTGTGATTTAAGTGTTTTCATATTGTAATTCAAATTAAATAGCTTGTCTAAAGTAATTGAAGTAATTTTAGATGTGATTTATATCTGTTATTTCATTTGACAGAACTCTTCATGGTTTTATTCTAAGTTATTCAAGCAGAAAGAGAGCTCAGAATCATTTTGATTTTTCAGTGATTAAATTTACTTGTCTTTAGTCATTTATTTATTTTGTTCCATGAATTTATCCAAATAAGGAAATGTGCATTATATATATTTTTTTACGCCAGGGTTACCACAAAGCCAAAGCCTATATAGCTACCCAAGGGCCACTGCCTAATACATTTGAGGATTTCTGGAGAATGGTGTGGGATCAAAACTCTGTCATCGTAGTTATGATTACAAACCTGGAAGAGAAAGGAAGAGTAAGTAAAATAAATACAGGGCTGCCTGTGAGAAGGCCTAGTGGGCATTATTTGTGAGAAAAAGATGGCTTTTGATGTTAAAAAATCCTAGATACCTGGGGCATGTAAACACATTACCAAATGCAACTACTTGTTTGTGCACATGTGTATACCAAACATTGTCGCAGTTGAGAAACGGATAATTAACTGGCTCTCAAGATGATTATGAAAAGAGCCTTTTTAATATTTATTTAGTTGTCTACTTGAATTAGTCATTTTTTTGCTTTCTGTAGAGGAAGTGTGACAAATATTGGCCAAATGAGGTGGGGCACACTGAGACTTATGGGAATATGCAAGTGGAGTACCTGGATGAAGACGAGCGTGCATGCTACACCATACGCAAATTCTGTCTGCGAAATCAAAAAGCTAAAAGAGTTAGCACAAGAGTGGTAAGTCATAGTCAAAATTGCAAAATGATGAATTGTTTTATGCATGTGTTTGTTATGTTTGAGTTCTGAAAAATTGGGTGGAACTGGCTGGCGTGATTGACAGTTCCCATTCAGGCTGTCTGTAAATCAGTGTGTGGATCGCCCTTCTTGATTGGCAATTGGCCTTAATGGGAGAATGTCAATCAACATGGGTAGATCCTCCCATTTTCAAAGCTTTGATTTATTCCACTATTTTAGTCTTCTGTTTAGGTTGGGTCCCTCAAAGAATCAATAGTAATAGGAGATGATAAATAATTGTGGAGACAAATCTCATCATCTGCTTCATCATCCAAAAATGAAAAGTTTAAAAGAACAAATTTTCATTGTAAGAATGGCTGAAGTCTTATTATCTTATTTTTAATGCTGACAATTATACTTAATCATATTTTCATTGGATAATAAGGTCATTGAAGATTTTATTACAAGCCATTGAGTCCCTGCAGAGTCCCTTGAGTCCATTGAGTCCCTGCCTTACTTGGCAAACTCTTATTCAACCATCAGCTAAAACCACTCGTATCATATATCATGATCCCTCTGTGTTCTAGAAACATTCCGCATTTGAGCGTATTATCTACCAGTATCACTATACAGACTGGCCAGACCACGGGGTCCCAGACTACACACTACCCGTGTTGACGCTGGTCCAGAAATCGTCGCGTCATAATCCTGAAGGGGCAGGCCCTATCATTGTACACTGCAGGTAAGGGACATTCTCATATATATATATGCCTTATGCTGATGTGTGCAGCCTTTTTCAATGCATTCGTAATGTCTAAGTCATAGACCCTATATGGCAGTCTTTGAGTCAAATCTAAAAATTTTTCAGTTTTCAAAATTATGAACTCAGGTAAACTACCAGTGACAAGTAAGTAAAAAAAAATTGTCTAGCAAGATTCTTTATATTATGGGGTATATATATATATATATTTATATTTATAATATTATATTGCTATTATCACTTTTTCAGTGCCGGAGTTGGTAGAACTGGCACGTACATAGTTTTAGACAGTATGATACGACAGATTCTAGACAAGCGAACTGTGAATGTGTGCGGTTTCCTCACACACATCAGGCACCAGAGGAGCTTCTTGGTGCAGACAGAGGTGGGTTGCAATCACATGTCACAATTGTCACACCTAACACACTCTCCCCCCCCCCCCCAGCAATTTCATGTCACAATAGTCACACCTAACACACTCCCCAGCAATTTCATGTCACAACCGTCACACCTAACACACTCCCCAGTTACACTTAAGTATGTTGACAGTCCAATACAGCTTACACAACAGTCACATATACAACAATATGGATGGAGGCACTTGTCTTGTCTAATACAACAGTGGCACCTTACATGCTCATGTGATGCATTTACCACTCAAATCTAACACACTTACACTTACTAATAACTCCTAACACAGACACACACTGCTATCTAGCCTTACATTCTGAACACAATCTGATTGTTTTCTTATCTGCAAGCCCAAAGTTTATTTATCAGCTTTGCCTCACAAATATTCCAACAGGGTAAAGATTAAAACCATGTCATGTATCCAGACCCCAGAGCTGAAAATTTGATATCTTTCACAAACCTGAGCTTTTACCTGAGCTTTGATTGATATTAACTTCATTTTCACTACTTCTGTTTGTATTTTTTTTCCTCAGGACCAGTACATTTTCATTCATGATGCCTTGTTGGAGTACATTCAAAAAGATGGTGACACAGAGGTTCTTAATTGTAAACTTAAAGAATTTGTAGAAGAAAATCTGACATTTTGCAATGCAGAAGGAGAATGTTTACTTGACAGGCAATATCAGGTATTAGTTAATCTGTTATCTTATGGTTTAATTATTATTAAACTTTTGTGGGAAAGCTTTAACAATGAATAACCTTCTTTTAAATGTGTATGTATACCTGACAATAAATTATATTAATTTTATACCATCAATATTGACTCTTTCCAATGTTCTTTCACTTTTTGCCAGTATTTCATAAAGTCCATGTAAATTTTAAATTGCAGCTAGTAACAGAATACAAACCAAAAGACCACGAGTTTTCTCCTGCACATATGATATATAATAAGAACAAAAATAGGTCAGAACGGCTTTTGCCAGGTAAGCAGTTATGGTTTGAATAAAAGGATATTGATTGGGTACCTGCTGTTGAGTGGGTGTAGTTTGAAAATATAAAGTTAATGATTGGATATTTCTAGTTTTTTTTTTGTTTTTTTTTTTGAAAACGTTATGCTTGGCTACTTCTTGGTGCTTGACTAAGGATTAAAGTCAAGTGTGAATAACTGGAGATTTATAGGAGGATACATTAATTTTTTGCAGGTGTTTGTTAATTTAGGTAATTAATGAATTCATTGTTCTTCGATAAGGATAGTCACAAAGACTGTAGGATGAGTATTATAGTGCAAGTCCCCATAATTCAAAGCAATGACATCATGGTACCTTTTTTGCTTAACAACAATTAACTTAAATTGAAAACAAACTTTGTCTTCCAGTGGACAAGAGTAGAGTTCATCTCCCAAAGCAGCCTGGCATAGACGGGTCAGACTACATCAATGCAACGTTCCTGCAGGTAATTATCTGGTCCCTTCTGGTTTTCACACAGTTGTTAGCATTTGTCTTATCGTCTTCTTATCTTCAAGATGAGTATTACATTTGTTGGTGCAATGCAGACACTAGGCAAAGGAGGGGGGGGGGGGGCGGGGGGAGTTCATTGCACATCAACACCTTTGTATGAAAAATGTATGTATTTTTATTCCTTTCTGTTAATTTAAAAAAGCATGTAAGTGGACACCTTTATCCCAAGATTGGTAACTCACTTATTTCTGATTTATTTTTATTTTAATTTATCGTGTTTTTTTTCTTCTTAATTTCAGGGCTATTTCAAAATCAATGAGTTTGTGATCACCCAGCACCCCCTGGGGACCACCCAGGAAGACTTCTGGAGGATGGTCTGGGACCAGAACTCAGCCACCATTGTGATGCTCTCGGAGGTCACTAAAGACGGGGTCAGTGAAATAGAGATGAAAATCTTCCAGATTTATCTGGTTATTTGTTTTATATATTGAATTTTTATTATGTTTTTTATAAGGTCCACTTTCATCTCTGGTAAAAGTCTGCTTAGCCAGACACGTAAATCAGACAAGTAGAAGGCTACAAATAGTTCCCATTATTACAGTGTTATTTGACCCACTGTAATCGGCAGACTATATGTGAAAGCAGATTAGCTGATAAATGTGCATTAGGATTGATTAATGATTATATTTGAAGAAATTGTGAAAGAAGATAGGGGCTATGTTGGTGCAATCAATGCCAAGTCCACAGTGGTCTGGTTCACATCCTTAGAAGTTAATATTTAATTTTCTGTTTTCCAGGAATTTCCTGAATTTTGGCAAGGCAAGGATGAAACCCAAGAAATAGACAGTGGAAACTTCAAGGTGACTCAGACTGGGGAGGATTTCTCCCAAATTCACAACATTACCAGAGATTTCCTGATTGAGTCTAAACAGGTGGGTGTGGGTGTTCAAAAAAGTATGCTTATTATCCATTATCTTTACTTTATTACATCACATTGCAGTTTCAATATTAATTGCTTGTAATCAATAGACCAGGCCCCGGTTTCACAAAAAAAACTTAAGTCAGGTTCCCTGGCTAAGAACTTAATTACCAAGGTTACATGGTCAAGTGGGCAAGTCTTACCCTATCAGGAGCAGTGTAACAGCACTCTCATGGAAATCCTAAACAACTAAGCCAGGGAACTGACTTAAGTTTTTTTTTTTTTTTTTTTTTTTTTGTAAAACTGGGGCCAGGTTAAAATGAATCAATATTACTAGCCTAGCCATTTAACAATATTTACGTAACCTTAGCGTTGTTTATATTATATGTTCTACATTTTTAACCAGGATGACTACGAACTCACTTCGCGTATTATCTCTACGACTGCTTGGCCTGAGAGTTGCACTCCTCTGCACACAGTGCTGGAGTTCATTGACACAGTTGATAGCTGGCACAAGGAGCACCAGAATGGACCAATTATAGTTATAGACAAGTAAGTTGAGATGAGGAATAATGTTCATCAGCTTGGTATTTGAATATGAATCATTTAATTATTCGATACACGATGGAAAATTCTCCTCGCCACGTGTTAGCTTGTGGTAAACTGGTCAGAGGCCTTTTTCAGACTGATATGAGTGTATGTCTCTCACCAGGACCTAATTGAGAATGTGAGGTAAATGGATGTCCCTCCCCTTCTCCCCCCCACCCTCCCCCCCTCCAATTTTTTTTTTAATCACTGGTATTTACTTCTTTAGTCTTTCTGTATTTTTATTTTTCCCATGTGCATTTAAAATGTTATTTTAAAAGTGGAAAAAATAAAGTTAAAACAAAATATGTGTTCTGTTTCTACAGAGAGGGTGGATCAGTGGCTGGCACTTTCTGTGCTCTTTACTCCCTGAACAACCAGAGAAAACATGAGGATGGGGTGGATGTCTACTCCCTGGCTAAAACGTACCATCTGATGAGACCTGGGATATTTTCATCAAAAGTAAGTGATGATTTACAAATGTGGATATGAGCAAACGATATTCTCCGTGTTTTTTAATTTTTTGTTGCAGATAGAGATTTACCCATAGCTGGTTGGTGAGGCTTTGATTACTAACACCAGTCTTTTTATATGTACTGATTTTCAATTTTCTTGTATTATTTTTGCAGGAAGCTAAAAAAGTAACATAAATATGTGACCAAATTTGGTAGAGAATTATAATTAAGTAAACAGTTATTATTATTATTATTATTATTATTATTATTCCAAATTGTGCAAAATCTGTTTCTAAAGCAGTCAATCCTAATTTTAAGCCATAAATTCTAGGACGACTACCACTTTCTGTACAAAGTAATGGGCAGTATTGTGGAGTCCCAGCCTGACATTTTAATGGACATTAAAGGACGGATTGGATCAAGCGAAAGTCTTAACCATGGCAACAATGGTCAGCCGTTGTCCACTTGGGCACATGGACTGAGCCTGAAGAGGAATGAAGAGCAGACGACCACCACTGTTTAGATTGTCAGAAAGAACAGTAGGAATAGAACATGAATGAAAATTCCTTAAAATATCAACAGGAATTTTAAAGGCAGTAGAAAGGACAGCATAGCAAGTGTCTGTTCTTCATATTCCTCAAAAGAGGTAGGGATATTGTTAGGTTTAGTTTGGGAGAAAGTACATATCGCAATAAGGGCTGGTGGTGTATTTTACTGTGGCCAAGATGCACATAGGTGCAATCTGTGCAGTCGCTTTTAACTGCAAGAACTGCTTTAAAAGTTTTGGGTGATGATTGATCCAGAAGTTGTTAAGGGTAAAGGTGCTTTAAACAGCAGGACATGAAGGAGCATTTTCTTTATGGAGCTTTCATAACTGCAGGACTAAAAAAAGAGTTGTCATTTAGTTTGCTGAATGTTGCTTCAAAAACTGGAACCGCAGCAAAGGAATAAACTGCCAGGCAATGGACAGCTTACAGTAAAAAGAATATAATTTTTGAATAGTTTATAGTGTTATTAGAGCATATTTACACATGCATATAAGTATCTGTATTTTCCCATTGATGTGTTAACGGTTTTCTAAAGAAGTGAAGGAGCTCTCAAATTCACATTGGTAAATGCTTCCCACTTTGCCCTCATTCTTTTTCTCTGGTGGCCATATTTGATAGATAGACACATTTGAATCAAAATGGAATGGAGCAGAAGCAAGTTGTCTTGGACATGATAGTATTACATGACGTCTGCGGGAATGACATATGAGCCTGTGGTAGCTCTTTGACCACACGACCCATACAAACCAATCACAAATGTCATTGTTTCCCAACTCATTGGTCACATGGTTCATTTGAACCAATCACAGTGCCCTTGCTATCATGAAAATTAAAAATGCTTCAATCCAAAAGGTGAAGTGCAATTGATTAAACTTTTTTTCGCATTTAATTTCAAAATCTCTATTGGTATAAAAATGTGTTTCATTTTATAGCGTGCATCATCGAATATCAAGTCTGCTTTCATTTAAAAGTAGTTTTTTAAAGATTAGTGTATAAAAAAATGATACAACATGTAGCACATATCTTGTTTCTTCCCTTACTTAAATTAGTGTATTCTCATATAAAAGTGCATTCACATGATGATGAAGACTATTATAAACTAAAAATAAGTCTGAAAAGGGGTTCCTCACTTACCCTTTCCAACAGATGATGTAAATTAGGCCTATTTTCTTGTTTTGAGTGAATAGAATATGATGAGAAGTCCTGGAAAGGACAAGAAATGATGTAACAATGGGCACAATCTATAGTACCTCCATCCTTCTTATTTTATACTTTTCTAAAGACATTCCTATATATCTGTTTTCTTTAATAGAGCCTTGCTTTGAAAGTAGTTGGAGATGGCTTTTAGATAATACATTTCTGATCTCAAATTTATATATTTTATCCTCTGGACTGTACAGAAAAAATATTTTACTTGGTCTTGTATAATAATATGAGTTCACATTTCTAACTAATTTCGCAACACCTCTTTCACTTTTTTCCTCATTGAACCTCTTTCCCCAAAAAATTTTGAACAGTTACTATATTTCTTACCCACAACTAAATGCCTGAGCCATCCGCTATGTTGTAACATGTAAGTCCATATACCAGCCATGTGCTGACTGTTAAAGAATATTCAAAGAATTTCTTTTAATCATGTTGAGGATTTCATGAATATTCTTTAATATAACTATTTACAAATCCAGTGAAACAATTTGCATAAGTGTTGACTCTGCTATCAGTGGCGGTTTAGTGGATTGTATTTTCTAACCTAAAGCTTTGTAAAGTGTAACCCATATACATATTATTTTGTACTGTTAGTTTTATGTGCCATGAATGAATGCTTCTACGCCAAGAATATTAATCAAACTTGTTAACAACATCAGTTATTATGGTTTCTACAATTTGTTCAAATGCAAATATCCTTTTAACTTATTCTTACTGGAACTTGTCTTCTCTCTCTATATATATATATAGAGAGAGACAGAGAGTGAGAGAGAGAGTTGATGAACACAACTTGTCAGCATTTCGCTATAAGAAAAGATTCGACTTAAACTGCACTGTTATTTGACCTGACAAGTTTCAGTAAGAGTAAGTTGAAAGGTTAACAGTATTTGTATTGGAGGGTAATGTTTTATTTTCACAATGGCATGAAATAATTAAAATAATGTTGATTGACGAAAAAATTCTCCCCCTCCATGTACTAGAACAGAATAATATATTTCAATTTCTATTATATCATATATTTGTATATTTTCTGATAGGCATGTTTTCAAAGTAATGTATCAAGATGGATAGTACTGAGAATTGAATGGGGGTCATCCAAGATAGTCCAGAGTTTTGAATTTTGCGTAAGATCAAGCTAGACTGAACATGATTTGCAGGAGAATGAGGTCAGAAAAAGTTTCGCCTTTATTGCTTTAAAGTTCACATGATTTCTGGTCGTGTACAATGACATGCAGTGCCAAAAGCCTAGTTTCAGTCTATCTGAGATGATCCTCATTAAAATTCCAGGAAAGGTGACAACAGCATTTTTGTTAAGACTGTCAATTAATTTTTTTTTTATATATAACGTGCCAGAAATGTTGTCACAAGTCGCCAAATTAACTTTTTGCTTCTCCTCTACTGCAAATTGTATATTACAAGTATGATGATGTGTATCCAGAAAACTGAATCAGATGTGTTTTGTAAATATTTTACCTTAACTGTATACTTACAATTTTATACATATTATTTTATGAACCTCAGTGCATTTAGATTTGCCAGAGATCATGAAACAAAGTGGGGTCAAATATTTGTTTATGGGGGATATCTGGAAAGAGAAATTAAATACACTCCATAATAATTTTATATAATATATATGTGATTAAAAATTCAGTTAGCTAGTGAAATATTATGACTTTAAAATGTTTTATAATATATATGTGTGTGATGATTAAAAGCTATAGATAATTATAAAGTAGGAGTTTCGTAGATGAAACCTGACTGAAGTAGTCTTTCAACTATGTTACTCATATCACTCAGATAAACGTGTTAATACTACACCAATTTCTGTATTGCTTATCATTTTGCTACATCATGGTGCATGCTATTCAGAAGAGCTTCCCTATAAAAAGTGTTATATATTATGCCATGCCATTTATGCTGGGAAACTTGTGTTTGATACCCTAAATTTGTGTTATTGAGTCCCGTGTTAATGGCATTCTGTAATTTAGACCAAATCACATGGTTATGTAGTTACTCCATGATGGATCGAAGCAGATGGATCTGTTTACATTTGTTGACTTTGGACCGAAGAATGTCCTACTTTCCATCAATAAGCATTCAGATTCACTTTGACTAAGTGTAAGTTTGTCGGTTTACGATGCCAGTAGGATATATCTGATTTGAAGTGGTCCTGTGTAAAACAGACTTGGAACAAAAATGCTGGGATTTGGGGATAACACATCAATTTTTTTAACTTAGCTTAACATTTGCTGAGGTGAAAAGTTTAACTTTCAAATCTATATATATATATATATATATATACATATATAAAGTGGTTGGAAAACATCCTTGACTGTCACATTTTAAAACTTTAGTATGCTTTATAAAAATAAATTCCATTTCCAATCATCATTGAAAGGTCTAAATTATGTGTATTGTATTTCACTATGCATACCAGAAAAAGCTGTTGCCACAGCAGAAAGGTTTAAAAAGTTAATTTATCAAAAGAGCAGTCTACTTTTTGTAACGTGATATATTGTAAAAGGCTTAAGTACTGAATATGTGTTGGTATTTCTGTTTTTCATTCACTTTCTTCAGTGATATTCGCTACCACAGCAATAGTTTATTACTATTCCACTGACTTTTCAACATGTAGTCATTTTCTTTGGTTCTTTCCTTCTGGTAAAGATTGCATGACTTGATAATTTAAAGTCAGTATTGGATGTCTGTGGTAAATAATAATCACCAACTTGTGAGAGTGACATTTTTTTAAAAAAATAAAAGTCTTTCTAATAAATCAATTTTAAAACTTGTGTTGTTTTGATTTTGAACATTTGATAGCATTTCAGAGTACAAATAGCTTTGAAAATTTAATGCCAGATTGTTTATGCGAACCTTCTTTCCACCATCTGTCTAGAAAAGATCTGTAAGAGGGGCTTTTATTACCTCTGCCAAGGAAGTTATGTTTTCACCCCTGTTTGTCTGTCTGTTTGTCTATCATCACTCAAAAAGTTATGGACCGATTTGGATGAAATTTTCAGGAACTGTCAGAAGTGGGCCAAGGAACAGATGATTAGTTTTTGGTGGTGATCCAGATCAACAGTCAATCAATAACAAAAAATATCGAAAATTGGGGTGAAACGGCATTGGATGGAGACTTTGCTGCCTTGGCGGAGGTCTGCGCTCTCTGAGTGCTTTTCTAGTCATAGAATTGGGCAAATTTGAAGAATATTGTATGTTGAGTATTTTTGGATGTAAGGACAGGTCTCAAAATTCTAATATGGTCACCAAATTAAATATGGCTGCCTGGCAGACAGTTGCTTCTAATGGGGCCGTAGCGATAGTCCGAAGGTTCAACAGTCCGAAGGTTCATTGGTCCGAATGTTCACTATAGAACCTTCAGACCAATGAACCCTTGATTAAAAAATCGATGAAAATGGTACCATTTTTCGGACCAATGAACCTTCGAGACGCCCCCCTTCTAATACAGTGACTAAAAATCCTGAAATCCTGCTGTTCTAAAATTATCAAGCCCTGTATTAACATTAAAATTATTCAGTCAAATTTAAGCCCATACATTATTTTTACCAAATGAAATAAATGGTGAGCTGCATTTTCATATGTCAAAAAATTAAATATCATTGAAACGGAAATGAATTGAGGCTCGAAAATATTATATATTATTAACAAATTCAGTGCATCACATATTATATGACCTTGAGAGGTTTTGAATGTTCTTGAGGACCTTAATATATATATATATATATACTAAAGTTATGTAATTTCCCCTAAATTCATTCTTTATATTTACTAATTTTCTCATGCACCCTTTTACCCTAATAACCCTAAAACATGCATGGTCTATCATTCCCCCTTTGTCTTTACATCAGGTTTTCTACGATAAATTTTTGGAACAAGGGAGCACAAAACAAATTTACAAATAATCCAAATTACAATTAGACCACAAAACGTTGTTATGATGATGAAACCCATTACATCGAGCAATAAATACTGAAACCAGTTTAATCTCTCCATAGCTTGTGAATGAAAATGCATTGTCCCTTTGTTCCTGATTACATACTCGATCCAAAACCTCATCATTTCTTTGCCGTTCATCGGTTGATCACGAACAAGAGCAGAAGCACGTTTCGCACTTTCATAATATGAGGGGTTAGTTAAGACTGATTTAATCTTGGCTTCAAACGCTTGTTCGGTGAGATTATAAAAGTCCAGTTCTTCACCCATCCCAATGCGTTGCACCAACTTTTTTGCGTGACTAAACTGGTCAAAAAACAGGGGCACTGCAATCACAGGAACGCCGTGAAATAACGCCTCGTGGGAACTGCTGACGCCACAATGGGTGATGAAAAGTCGAGCTTTTTCATGCCCCAAAAGATCATTTTGCGGTATCCATGGTAGCACCTTTGTATTATTCCCGAGTCCTTGGACATTGGATTTTGCGTTTCTCAATATCACTTTCTGAGGAAGACGCGCGAAAACTCGTGCTATCATTGCCATCGTTTCAGAGCTAAACCCTGCTATCATTGTCCCGAAGCTCATGATAATGATACCGTGCTCTCCCGATGACTGCACGAACCTTTCCAATTCTTCTGGAAGAGGCTTGGCAGGATGGAAGAGCAGTCCGGAAACCGGCTTGACCCAAGGCATGACTGGACGGGGGTAGTCAAATACAAAATCAACATTCACTATGACAAGTGATAATCTTGTTTGGGCTTCCCATAAAGACAACGACGTATTAAGATTGTATTTGAGTTTGGCCTCACTGAAAGGTACCCTCATTTTACCTGTGACATAACGTGCACCTAAAATAGACAATGCATTCGTTAATCTCTCCCAAAAATCCATCCTATCCGAGAACTTTCCAGTGGGTGATGGTACGTACGAAGGGTTGAGGGGAGAAGAAAAATACCTATCATTGCCAAATCCTAAATTCGAGTACCCTACCCCAGGAATGTCCAAATAATCCCTCACTATGAGCCCCTGTGGTGAAATTACATCCATGAAAACCAGGTCGAACTCTTCGCTGACCATTTTCAGCATCACACCACTATCATTAAAAAGCGAGTCAAGTAAGTCTCTGCTGTATTCTATCCAACCAGACATAAACACGAATGGATCTTTCCGCATTTCGTGCAGAAACGTCTCCTCCGAAATCTCAAAAGGAAAGGTATCTAGTTTGAAAGTAATTGTACGTACTTTTTCTGGGACGTTCTTGGGGACGCAGTTGGAGGGAAGCAACATGGCAACGTCGTGGTTGTGCTCCGACAGCATTTGACCAATCTTCACCATGTTCATGAGGCGAGAGGTTTGCTGATGAATATATGGGATCAGTAATATCTTGGAACTTGAAATGTCCTCCACCTGTGTAGATACAACAAGCACGGCCACACACCACAAGGCTGTCGTTGCGATCCTCATCTTGCTCACGTTGTTAACGTAGATGGGATGGAACCTAGGTGCGTTTCTTAGAGTCACGCAAGCCACCTAGCCGTTAATGCTGTACCTCAGTGATCTCGGCGTGTAACCGGTTTGCTTGATAGCGACGCGACACTCCGCTATCGTATAAGCCAGTTGGTTGTTCTCTGAACTTGATAATTTCCTTAACAGACATAGCCCTTCGACCTAACTGGCATAGTTGACTTCGTGAACCGTATGGATCCTAAATTTAACAGAGTCGCACACGCAGGAAGGCCCCTATATAGAGTGGAAACGTCTAAGATATGCCTAAATTGCACTGACCACAGCCCACGCTATGTCCTATATAGATCTGTTTGAATGGAGCTGGACAAAGCGCGATTATCTAAAAGAGCTTTATTTAGGCCAACGAAGACCTATTCATGGTACATGTATGAGAAGTGCAAGTAAAGCATAGGTTATATAGGTTGTCTGAAATTTAAGACGGTATGGGGTCATAACAACACGCGTCTGATAAAACGTGCCTCTCTAACTGAGATGTATTTAAAATACTCAATTACAATAGTCATGCTATTTGCTGCATTGCTCATACTCTGCCTGTATACTTCCCGTATTAATCCCTTTTTGTGTGGCATCAATGGGAGGCAGGCCTCAAGAAATCTTGGACATCGCACGCATTCACGGCCTCCGTGGCGTCTTCGATTATATCTACAGTGGCGGTGTAACAGGAACGCAAGTCCGCTAAGTACCGTTGTCCGCTTCCCATTACTTTGTACAGGTGACATTTATCCAATATACTAACCCCAGCACTCCAACTAACCCTATAACCTGTTCTAATCATATGGGAGCCCGGACTTAGCATTCCTGGCACAGGAATGTTAGTCCTAAAAATGGAAGTCAGGGGTCCCATATGAATGGTACAAGTTAAGGTTAGTTGGACTATTGGGGTTAGTATATATCAAAAGTGCAGTCTACTTTTTGTAACATATTGTAAAAAGCTATTTGAGTCGGCTAGTAAAGTATGTATTTGTTTCTTTTTTTTTTTTTTTTTTTTCATTTACTTTCTTTAGTGATACTTCGCTACATTGGCAACGGTTTGTAACTATGCCACTGACTTTTTTAATGAAGTCATTTTCTTGGGTTCTTTCCTTTTGGTAAAGATTGCATGATTTGATAATTTTAAGTCAATGTCGGATATCTTGTAATTAAAATCACCAAGCTGTGAGATTGACATTTGTTTTACAATAAAGTCTTTCTTATAAATCCGTTTCAAAACTTGTGTTGTTTTGATTTCGAACATTTCATAGAGTATCAAAGCATTAAATACTTTGGAAATTTAATGCTAGATTGTTTATTTGAACCTTCTTTCCATCTCCCGTCTGGATAAAATCTGTAAAGGGGCTTTTATCATAGAACTGGGTATAGTTGAAAAAAATTGTTTAGTGAGTTTTTTCGGATGTAAGGACAGGTCTGAAAATTCTAATATGGCCACCAATCAAATATGGCAGTTGCTTCTAATACAGTGACTGAAAATCTTCGAATAGATAAAATTGCTCTTCTAAAATTATCAAGCCCAGTATTTACATTAAAATTATTCAATCAGTCAAAATTTAGCCATACATCATTTTTTACCAAATGAAATAAATGGCGAGCAGCATTTTCATATTTCAGGAATTTAAATATCATTGAAATGGACATTCATTGAGACTCAAAAACATTATATACTACAAATAAATTCAATGCCTTGAGAGGTTTGAATGTTCGTGCAAACTAAAATATACTTAAGTCATGTAATTGCCAGTACATTTATTCTTTATATTTACAAAATTTCTCATGCACCTATTTTACCCTAAATACCCTAAAATATTGTCTATCATTCCCCCTTTGTCTTTACATCAGGTTTTCTACGATACATTTTTGGAACAAGGGAGTACAAAACTTTAGAAAGAATCCAAATTACAATTAGAACACAAAACGTTATTATGATGATGAAACCTATTACATCGAGCAATAAATACTGAAACCAGTTTAATCTCTCCATAGCTTGTGAATGAAAATGCATTGCCTCTTTGTTCCTGATTACATACTCGATCCAAAACCTCATCGTATCTTTGCCGTTCATCGGTTGATCACGAACAAGAGCCGAAGCACGTTTTGCATTTTCATAATATGAGGGGTTAGTCAAGACTGATTTAATCGTGGCGCCAAACGCTTGTTCGGTGAGATTATAAAAGTCCAGTTCTTCACCCATCCCAATGCGTTGCACCAACTTCTTTGCGTGACTAAACTGGTCAAAAAACAGGGGTACTGCAATCACAGGAACGCCGTGGAATAATGCCTCATGGGAGCTGCTGACGCCACAGTGGGTGATAAAAAGGCGAGTTTTGTCATGCCCCAAAAGATCATTTTGTGGTATCCATGATAGCATCTTTGTATTATTCCCGAGTCTTTGCACATTGAATTTTGAGTTTCTCAATATCACCTTCTGAGGAAGACGTGCGAAAACTCGGGCTATCATTGCCATAGTTTCAGAGCTAAGCCCTGCTATCATTGTCCCGAAGCTCATGATGATGATACCGTGCTCTCCCGATGACTGCACGAACCGTTCCAAATCTTCTGGAAGAGGCTTGGCAGGATGGAAGAGCAGTCCGGAAACTGGTTTGACCCAAGGCATGACTGGACGGGGGTAGTCAAATACAAAATCAACATTCACTATGACAAGTGATAACCTTGTTGGAGCTTCCAATATAGACAATGAAGTGTTAAGATTGTATTTGAGTTTGGCCTCACTGAAAGGTTCTATCATTTTACCAAGGACATAATGCGTGCCAAAAATAGACAGTGTATTGATTAATCTCTCCCAAAAATCCATCCTATCCGAGGATTTTCCAGTTGTTGACGGTACGTACGAAGGGTTGAGGGGAGAAAAATAGTACCAATCATCGCCAAATCCTAAATTCGAATATCCTACCCCAGGAATGCCTAAGTAATCCCTCACTATGAGCCCCTGTGGTGAAAGTATATCCATGAAAACCAAGTCGAACTCTTCGTTGACCATTTTCATAATCACACCACTATCATTAAAAAGCGAGTCGAGTAAGTCTTTGCTATATTCTATCCAACTTGACATAAATACGAATGGATCTTTCCGCATCTCGTGCAGAAACGTCTCCTCCGATATCTCAAAAGGCAATGTATCTAGTTTGAAAGTAATTGTACGTATTTTTTCTGGGACGTTCTTGGGGACGCAGTTGGAGGGAAGCAACATGGCAACGTCGTGGTTGTGCTCCGACAGCATTTGACCAATCTTCACCACGTTCATGAGGCGAGAGGTTTGCTGATGAATATACGGGATCAGTAATATCTTGGAACTTGAAATGTCCTCCACCTGTGTAGATACAACAAGCACGGCCACACACCACAAGGCTGTCGTTGTGATCCTCATCTTGCTCACGTTGTTAACGTAGATGGGATGGAACCCAGGTGCGTTTCTCAGAGTCACGCAAGCCACCTAGCCGTTCAAGCTGTACCTCAGTGATCTCGACGTGTAACCGGTTTGCTTGATAGCGACGCGACACTCCGCTATCGTATAAGCCAGTTGGTTGTTCTCTGAACTTGATAATTTCCTTAACAGACATAGCCCTTCGGCCTAACTGGCATAGTTGACTTCGTGAACCGTATGGATCCTAAATTTAACAGAGTCGCACTCGCAGGAAGGCCCCTATATAGAGTGGAAACGTCTAAGATATGCCTAAATTGCACTGACCACAGCCCACACTGTCTCCTATATAGCTCTGTTTGAATGGAGCTCGATAAAGCGCTATTATCTAAGAGGTTAATTTAGGCCAACGTAGACCTATTCATGGTACATGTATGAGAAGTGCAAATAAAGCATAGGTTATAGGTCGACTGACATTTAAGACGGTATGGGGTCATAACAACACGTGTCTGATAAAATGTGCCTCTCTCAAGTCGATATTATATTTGAAATGGGATACCCGTACAGTGCACGTATGCTCAGTTACATTTGTAATGCGACCCTTGGACATAAAATGCCCAAGGTCCATATTCTTCCCGTATTGATCCCTATCGTGCGGCGTCAATGGGAGGCAGGCGTTGGCCTCATGAAATCTTGGACATCGCACGCATTCAAGGTCTCCGTGGCCCCTTGCTTTTATATCGACAGTGGCGGTGTAACAGGAATGCGAATCCGTTAGGAACCGTGGTCCGCTTCCCATTACTTTGCACAGGTGACATTCGTCCCATATACTAGGAGACACAAGGTAATCCGAACTACCTGTATATTAGAAGTATTTACCTGTATGTTGCCATCTAGAAAAAAATGTCTTCGTGGGTAAATCCATGGCCGGTCCTCTGTATTAATAATAAATAGGTGTTTTTGGCGGTTGTTTGAATATTATTCTTTATTCATTTTAGTGTGGCCTTGTGTGTCTCAGGAACTGGAAGATCAGATCAGACATGTCGACAGCGGCATTCAAAAACCTTGCAGCTTCAAGGTGAAACTTCCCAAGTTCCCCCATGTTTTCTACGCCCCTTGGATAGTGTTCCGTAGAAATCTTAGGGGCATCACAAGTCTTGGTCTGCCGGCTGCTGGAAACAGTGGCCACATCGCCGAAGAGTGGCGCGGAGATGTCGCAAAACCTATCGTTGTCAAGTTTTTCCGTTCGGTATATTCTTTCGATACCATCGCTAATTGGCTGCGTTTTGCCCAGGTTCTTGGAGACGCTGGTGTTGCCCCAAAATTTGAAGGACTGTTTGATGTCAATGATCTGAAGAACTTTCCAACTGAATTTAAACGTACGCCATGTTGTATTCAGCGACGCTGGGTAGTTCCATATAAGCAGTACCATACGGTCGGCATGGTTACTGAATTCATCAGAGTTGGAGGTGAAGATATATCACTTCATGCGTCTCATTACACGCATCGCAGAAAAGCTGGCCAAAATGCGGGAGATGAGTTTTGTACACAACTACCTCAATGGACGTCACATTTGTTTGCAGTCTATCAGTGACGATCATGTAATGATGGAGCCTTATATCTGCAACTTTAGTCGCACCAGAAAGATAGACAGCGTCAACCCGTACACCATTCACCGTTAGCGAGACCCACTATCCCAAGCGGCCTACAAGGCACTTTTAGGCAGCTTTGCTCCAGAGGTGCGCGAAGGAGTCGATTCTACCCAGGCGAGCGACGTGTACAGCTTCGGGTGCACGATAAGCCCCCTTAAAGCAGTCCTCGGCATTGAAGCTCTAGTCAATACCTGCCTGAGAGAAGACCCGCGCGGGCGTCCAAAAATGCCTCTGCTGGCACAGGTGCTCAGAAACAAAACCACCATTATGGAGAAGAATCTCGGTTTCCCATTTACTGCTGATATTGATGCTCGTCGTTCAACGGCTTCCGTAAGTACTACACCTGATGTCGACAGGTTCTCATAGAGAATTACCCGGCGACAGGAGGGTTTTCTGGCCGGTCTCCATTCCCGCGGCGCTATTGCAATTGGGAACATAAAGTAGAAACAATACTGAGACCTGAACAGACCACTGCACCATTTTTCTTATTGTTTGTTTTAGATATTTTGAGATGCATAAACTCTGGAATAAGTTTGCTGATGTATTTTGAAACTAAGATCAACTCATAAAATATTCATATATTGTTTACTTTTTTCTTTACGTAGAACGACACACTTTATACCAAACCCAACTTTATTCGACGGTGCTTGAAAAATACCAGTGTCACTTTTGATAAAAAAAAGTTGCTTTACTTGCATTTATTCAAAACACTAGTTTCCTTCATTGCAACATGCTCTCCATCGATATAGATGTGCAATTCTTGTAAATATTCCGTTAATTCTGTAAATAATTACTTTGTATATATAGGTTGTTGGAATGCAATGTGAATCCGACGTTTTAGTCTAGTCTTTTCTATACACATAAAAATCAATGGCGTCTGAATCCATTTACATCATACTGTGATAATATTAATACAAACGTCATAAGTTGTTACTGGCACATCTGTGATATGTCTTTTCATAAGTCAAATAAAGAATAATGTAATACTAATACCTGTTAGAACTCTCTCTTTTTAATCAGAATTAAGCACTTTGGGGATAAAGGAATTATTAAAAGAAATATCAAGGGAGCTAAAACTGGCCTAGTGGGAGATAATTTAACACTTGATAAATTCCGCTACAGTATTGATGTCTATTAAAATACTTCCCCGAAATAATGAACACTAGAACATTGTGGTTTATTCAGTATGTATATTTTTTACGAGTCGACAGTCCGACGGTTCTAAAATCCGCACCGCACCAGCCGCCGACTAACCCCAAACCCAATTTGTAATTAGGTGTAGTTAAACAGTGTATAAAGCTCTGTCAAACCTAGCATAAAAAGGTAGGCCAAACGTATGTGTATTGTATGTGACAATGATCATACGGTCAACTTTGAGCGTATGTGAAGGCATCATCATTCGTGGACAGTTTAAGTAACTACCTCTCACCGAAAATGAGCCATACCTGTTGTAATTTGCATAACAATAAGTTGCTCATCGTTGTGCTAGCCGTCTTCCCGAATACTCACTTGGCAATTGGACAGAGTCGGGTGTAGACGTAACCAGGGGCGGATCCAGATATATTTTCTGACAGTCTTCCAAATTGTCTATGTTGATCCATCCTCCGTTCTTGACCGTCTTCCGACAGAAAAAATAGATACCTGTCAATGTAAACTTGAAAATCTGACCGTCTTCCGAAAGACCCAGAAGACGGCCTAAATCCGCCCCTGAGTAACTCTATGTGTTGTGCAGTCACAAGGTCGAGACGTACATGTAGAAGCAAATAGATGATTGTGAGTATCACTTTTTCTTATTTCTTCAGTAACCACTGCTATTAAATACTACAGGCGCAGACGAACGACGGACGAAAGAATATGTACGACAAATATTTAAGACATGAGTCCTTGATCATGAACTACTATTCAAATTGTTACTTGCATGTCACACAGATTGGTAGAATTTAACGGTTACAACACATTGGTACTCCAAATGTACAGGGTGAACGGCGCTCTAGATAACCTGACTTTTGATAGTAATCTAAGTTTGCTTGAAAACTTTTCGCTCTGTACTTTATTTTAGCTTTGTTGGGACATTTTGTGTACCCCTTGACAATTCATTTAGTATTTTTGATCTAATTTAAAATGGCGTGGGTGTTAAAAATGTAAGCATCACCACGTGCACCAAGATCACCGATTCATTTATTAGATGATGCTTGTCACAGTTCTTACCTTCTTATCTTGGTCAAATTCTATGGTCTTATCAACGTGTATATCAATACCATAGTCAAATTCTTTGCTCAAATTTTATCGACAGAACAAACGTCTTTGATGACAATTGCGATAGTTTCAAGAGGAATTTAAAAAAATATTTAAATGATCTTATGGCCAGTTTTGCTTCTTTTAAGTTTCATTCCCTTTTACTGATTTTTACTTTAAAATCAGTGTTTGAAAAGAATTAATATTAAAAGTTTAGACAAGCCAATAAACACGTGCACGCACGCTGTTTCAATGTACCCCCCTCTTTGTGCTATTTCATGCCTGTTTAGTCTAAAGTAATAAACATTATAATTTTTCTTTTCAGAGGTCCAACGAGATTCTGCGTCTTCAAGCAACCTACGATGCTCAGCGTTTGTTTCCACCCAGGAACCGCATGCTCATACGTACATCTATAATGTGAAAATTTAATAAATACTTTTGTAATTTAGCTTTTTTTTTGTATGAAATAAAGGAGATATAGATAATAGTAATGATAAGGGGAAATGAGTAATATGATTTTGTGTTTGAGGACTTTCAAAATCAGTCTGCTAAATCTGATCTGTTTGTAATGTCTTAATTTTTCTGATTTACGGTTTTCTATGGTACCTAAAACGTAAAGTTGAAATAGTTGTAAAGGTTATAACAATGACGGCCATATTTGTGTGTGTGTGTGTGTGTGTGTGTGTGTAATGACGGATTTTTTGAGCCATTTAAACACTCTCAAAGAACATATCTAAAACCTTTAACAACAACCGGCATATAGATAAAATGTGTATATAATTTACCGTTCTGATTCTTAAAAATTCACATTAAGTTTTCCTTGAAAAGCAAAATAAAACGATGGTGTTTTTCCGCCTGGATGTGGATTTTTTATACTTCTTAATATTGGATGGGTTCACTTTTGGCAGGGTTTGGATTTTTGCGACCGTCAATTGATTTGAATTTGGTGAATACTAATATTTTAAAATGAAACAGAAAAATG